TAAAGGGGGGGGGGGGGGGGGGGGGGGGGGGGCAATGCAAGTCTGGAAGATAACGTTCTATGTAGTCAACATAAGTAATAGCTTGGTGCATTTGATGTAATTCTAAACATAAATAAAATCAACACGTGTTCAAATATGTAAAATTGTTCCTAAAAACATTCTCCACAATGTTGGATTTCGAAACTCGTCCACCCTTTTAAAAGTTCTCAGATTCCATGGGAAGGGATTGCAGGGCTTGTCGAGGTCAATGTAAAATAATTTTACTCTTAAAAGTGACAGCAATTTAGGATTTCTGTCTCCTAACTATTTAAATTGTTTGAATAACTTGATGATGGTATTTTCCTTTGAGAATTCTTGCAGCATTGATGAACTGCAATTAGGAATCTCAAAACTTCCATTGTAACGAGTATTTATTGTATATATTGCATTGAATTCAATGGAAATTTGTAACTAACCTTTGATTTGATAATTAAATTTTGACCTATTGAGTACGCAAGAAATTTGTTAAATTTTGTCAAATGGAGTTAATTATGCTCACAAATTGAGTTAAGATCTGCTGTTCAAAATTAACAGTCCAACTTGCTATCCACCCAATAATTCATGAACACGTTACTTTAAATTAACATGTTTAAATTTTCTCTCACTCCACTTGTATTTAAAAATAACTGTAAATTGATGTGTCAATTAATTATTGATGGACATCACATCTCAACTCAAATTAGTATGAGTAGTAATATTAATGAACTAATGGATATAAAAGTTTACGAGTCATCTTTAATGTCATGTATTATTTTTCAAAATAGTTAAAACGATTCATATTATTATAAGTTGTAAAATTTAAACTCAAGAAATTTTTTAGAATCTATATGGGCGAATGAGTTGATTATATTTCAAAAAAAAATTTCCTCCTGTACAAATGTCAGATGCATTGAACCCGGCTAGATATCTCACAAAGGGTGGACCCCACCTGAATAAAAAAAGGCCAAATATTAACTCACTCAACCCCATCCCCCCAATTGTGTGTGCCTTGTAAAACCCCTGTGAAGGCACCTCAAGTGGGGTTGTATTTCAAAATAGCCGAAGCAATTCACATTATTTTGAGGTTTAAAACTTAAGGCCGAAGATATTATAAGCAAAAATTTCCAAAACTCATGAATCATTTCCAAAATAGTTGAAGTTCTCTGGATTATTATTGAGTCCTATAATTGACTTTTCAAGATTTATTTGGTTGGTGAAGATAAGATTTTATGCCATATTAAACATATATTACAATCCAAAATAGTTGAAATATACCTTATATCATGAGTTGTGATTGTTTAACCTAATAATGGAATTTAAATCATAATATTCAGAATCTATATCGTTGAGTATAATATCGTAGAAGTCATCACTCATTTGTTATTTTCCAAAATATTCGATAGCATTCATACTATTGTGAACTGTAAAAATAACAATTCAACATGTGCTAATATATTTCAAAAAAATAATAAAGTTACCTAATACAATATCTTAGAAGTCGTCATTTTTGAAAAAATAATTAATATTACTATGTGTAAAATTGATAGTTGAGCATGTACTGCAATTTTTCAAGAGATTTATACTATTTAATAAGACAAATCTTAGAAGTCATTGCATTTAAACTCAAAAATATTATTTTTTAAAAATATATTTATTTATATATTATTTTCACATTGCTATCATTTACTACCATAAGGGTGCTTATTTTTCTTTTTCTTTTTCCTTTTTCTTTTGAACAAACTAGATACACATATTGGACAATAACGTTGTCAATGTTTTGTGTTGAAATTTTTAGATATAAATAGATTGAGTAAGAGGAAATAATAATCAACAAATTTAATACTCATAAGGCCATTTCAAACTATTTGCGTGACATTACCACCATTTTGCAAAATGATCTCCAAGACTCCAACCATTACACCAAATAAATGGGGTTTCCTTTATTTCCTTTTTTTTTTCATTTCTGAACAATTAATTTATTTTTAAAAGTATTAAATTAATATGTTATTAACTTATTATTAAAATTATTAAATTAAATATGAACTAAAATATTATATTTGTTAATAATTAAAAATAATGATTACACTTCAAACCTATTTGAGCCCCATTTTTGGGTGTAGAATGTATTTTGTAATAGTAGATTGATTGTGTGGTTAAAAAATAAAGAAAAAATTTAGATTTGTGTGTAATATTAATTTATTAAAGAATTGTGATTGAAAAAAAGAGAGAGAAAAATGTATTTTGAAAATAATAAAGAAAAATAATTCCACAATAAAAAAATTACAATATCACAAAAAAAAAAAAGTTACACATAATTAAAAATCACAACTAGTTTTATCAATTAATTCTTGGAATTAGAATATTCATCCCACTACCAATACATTAATGCATTTTGAGGTGCAATATGTACCTCTTTATCATTGATTTGTCTATTCTGAAGTTTAATGTTATTTTTTACTTTAAATTTTATTTTTCATTTTTATGTTGTTCTAGTGCTAATTTTTTTTCATAATTCTTAACTATCAAATTTATAAATTTTGAATTTTAATGAGCAATTTTATTTTAATGTATTCAATAGTTAATATTTATTATTTGATTAGAACATACAAATAAATATTAATTAAAATTAATAATCAAATTAAAATAAATATAAATGAAGTTAAATCATTAATTATGAATGGATATAAAAATGATATAATATGAATTAAAATTTGTTGTAATATAAAATAATGGAAAAAAATTCAAAAATTATACTAAATGAATAATGTTATAGAAATTTGGTATAACACTATTCATTGCACCAAATTGGTGTGTTCGTTTTAGTGTACCAATGAAGTGCATAGTATTTATATTTTATTACTTTACTTAATGATGAAAATTTCATCTGTAAATTAAAGACATTTTTTTAATATTATCATCCATGAAAAACTCAATTAATAATCTTAAATATTACTTATTCTTTTACCTTTGGACTTTTCATGCAATAATATTTATTATTTTATATATTTCTAGAATTTCTATATTTAAATTATTTTTCAAATTATTTTTTAATAATTACAATCAAAATCTGACATGAATATTCCCTGGGTTAAATTATTGGAAGAAAATTTTAAAATTTTGTGGGCTTTGAACAATTAGCTAATTTGCATAAATGTCGACTTGGCTCTAGCAATACACTGTTATAACTTTTTATTTTGCATTACAATCCCTTTTTAATCTTCACAAATTCAGTGCATTAATTTGTTGATCCCAGAAGTGCATCTGTATATTGAAATTTCAGGTCGTCGAGCTAAAGTTAGACAATTTCTCTGGAATTATTGGATTTAAAATGTCAGTTAGCGTTATTATGAATGTTAGCAGCCTGGAAGAATTTGGAGTAGCGCTCTTCCTTTGGTGTACTCCTTTGGAAAGGGGACCAGAATGTAAGAACCTCCGGTTTGGGGGATTAAGTGGATATAAAAGAGTATGGAGAAGAAAAGGTGGAGAAAAAGAAGTTTTAGGGTAAGTGAAAACTCGCCATCTTTGTCTTCATGACCTTGTGGAGCAAGCTAATTAGCGCTTTGGAGCCATTGTCTATGCACTAGAGAGATCGGGCAAGTGCAACCATGGATTTCATTGCATAGGTGCCGAGAGGATGCAACACGAAAAATTGGAGATTTTATGGAAAGCTATTATGGAGATTGGGCACTAATCAACGGTGCCTTCTTAGGTAATGAAAAACAAGTGCTTTCCACAGGAATCATCACTCTCGGACGATAGTGAAATCATCTGCTTCCTTCGACTAGACGTCAGTCAATTGCGACAGCCAAAGGGGGGAGCGAAGTGAAGCTTAGTGGACTTTACAAGGCCTACCACTACATAACTCGTTGGTGAAAAAAGCTCTTTGTGCTTCCCTTATTTCGTTGCTAAGGCAAGGTCCCACATTTTCGAGTCAGCTCGCATCTTTTTGAAGAATCTTGTATTGTTAGTTAATAAAGGAACGAAAATAATATAGCTATGTTAAACCCCCTTAGGCATTTGACCAAATAGAATTGTTCAATTCTTATAAAACTTTTCATCAAAATCCCCTTAGAGAGAAATAAAGCTAAATGGAGTGAAAAGGAATTGCCTAATCGCAAGGAATCAAGAGATCTTTTCTAGTGCAGACTTGAATTCTGGTGACGGAATAAGGTGGCCATAAGCAAAGAGTAGTCTCGATAGCCACCATATTCTATCTAGAAAGCTTGGAACTCTGGTGTAATCGAGGAAGACTACATAGACACGACTGAAATTTAGATCATGAATATTCATAGTTGGTGTCATTTTTATGTAGGGATGGCATTTTGACTTGTCGACTTGGACTGCCCGTGGCTCGCCCTGAAAAAGCTTGAGTTGGCCCAACTAGAGGCTCGACAGTTCTTGGGGTGTTGAATCAAGCCTGAGCCAACATGTTTGCCTATCGGGCCCACTAAAAAAAAAAAAAAAAAAAAACTAGCAACGTGCTATTGCGCCTTGCCTATGTGTTATGAAAAAAAGAAGAAACTGAGCCGGCTCAACTCGGTAAAACTCGAGCCTCGATTATTAGCCGAGCTAGATGCTTGGCTTAGTTCTGGCCAAAAAAATCCAACTTAATTTTACTCAGCGAACTGGCTTGACCTGATTCGTTGACATTCTTATTCTTATGTATTTGAGTCTCAACACAGTACTCTATATATTTCATAGGTTACCCTTGTCAGTTATTATAGAGAGTCTTCTTTCATTAATATTAAAGAGTAGCCCGATTCTCTCTTTCTATGGCTAGAGTAAAGCCCAAAATGGCATTACTAAATAATTGTTTAGCCAATGATGGATTTTGAGCCCGGGAATGTATGGACATTTCCAATATCAAGAGGTGACAACAGCTCTCGTCGCATTCTTTTGTTAAACTTGGTATCAACAAGAACTCTAAGAGTCTGTTTGACAAGTCTCTTGAAAATTCAAAAGCTACTCCTGAGTTTAAGAAATTGTTTTTAAACATGTTCTGATAGTTCTCTAGAAGTTATTTGTCAAGCAAGAAGAGCTTTTTAAATTGAGATAAAAAAAATCTTTCTTAGAGAACTCTTTTACAAGAAGCAGAAATCATGTCAAGCAAATCCTAAGTTGATTGTCATTGATAGCTTGCTTCGATAGGAGGTATAAATTACTTCTAATGATAATTTCTTCAAACCGATGTAGCATGCTATTTATAAATGACACCTTATGGAATAATCGCCATTCTCGAGCCATTGTAGTGAAATGTTTACAAATGATGCCTTCTGTAATAATCGTCATTGTAGATTTCTATGAAAACTTTTTACCAAAATATCATTCTGAGATCATAATTTTCTATGCCAGATACTAGCTGTCACTAAAGCTTTGATTGGTTTTATAAATCGTATCCATTTCTTCTACTTCCCTGCATTTGATTTACCTTTAGTTGAAGGAGGCAAATGACCAGAAAAAAATGTGATTCTTGTAGAAAATAATCTTTCAAAGTTCATTATATTCCATGAATATATTGAAAACAAAATATAAGTCCTCTATTACTGTAAAATCTAAAGAGACCTTAGAAATTGGCAACATTAGATCAACATGTTCCTTCACCTCAGCATCCCTACGATAGGAACCTGTTTTACAAAACCCTTCCCGAGCTACTCCACCGAAGACACGACAATATGTCAAAAATACAATTTTCCTTTAATTTGACAGTCCAGCTATTATTAAAAATGAAATCTAAAATTTCTAATGAATCAATGTCTCATGAACCTAGTTGA